TGATTGTATTTCATAAATTTATATTTGGTTTTCAAAAATTGTTTAGGATAGTCGTGGCCTACAGTCCTTCCGCAAACTTTATCCAATAAAAAAGAAAATTGGTACCTTTATTATAAGATCACTCACATACGTCTATCCGCCCGTCACAGAAATTAATTTTACAATTTTATAATTTTATTATTTTATAAATGTCAATTGCATCACTGGACTTACCACTAGTGTTAAAATCTTGACGAACCTATCTAACCAATTACGTGACCTCTTAAAGTCAACAATATTCAAATTTTAAGCAATTTCGAAAGCCCGTTCCTGTATTAAGGGTCCAGCTATTGGAACACTTTTTTCCCTAGCTTTACGAAACCAATCTGAAACTGATTGATTTATATCGAATTCTTCTGTTTTTTGAAATTTCCGTTTCGGATCTCCACCGGGTTTTCCTTGTGCGAATTTCTTTTTAAGTTCCATTTTGTTTTTTAGAATTGCGTTCACTTGCGTTCTGCCAACGCCAAAAATGTTTGCTAACTTTCGAGCACTTATACGACGTTTTTCACTTTCGTGGATGATTTCCAGTTTTTCTCTAATAGACAAGCGGCGTCTAGCTTGTTTTGCAGACATGCCTTTTACTGGTCTGAAACTGCCAATTGATTGGCAATCATGTTGGAGATCAAATATAGTATTCTCTGAAATGGTTGGGTTTGTGACCGCTATTAATGCCGTAAGAATTGACCGTGGCCGCTATATAAGAAAGGTATTGGTTTACAGCAGGGCCGGCTTTTGATTTCTTAAACAGGGTGCAGAATACTGGAGGTAGTCAGAAAAAAATCGTTAACATGATTCATCTCATTTTGGACACATTTGCTGGGTTACGTAATCGTTTTTATGGTAACTAGCCCGCGTTAGCAGAGATACGGCGGCCATGTGTCTAACTCTTCACCTGGACATATTTATAGCTATTAGGGCCATTATAAGAACTTTGATATAAATTAACATCAAACTTTACATGACTTTCTTGAAACTGACAGTTTTACTACCCATTTTAATTAATAAATATTCGGAAATATTTTCAAATAACTACTGATGATTTTTTGAAAATATTACGCTCACTAACCATGATTTTTCAAGTATTAATAGTTAATATGTGATAACAAACAGACTCGTGTGAGTGATCTTATTATAAAGATTAGAAATCCTACAGAACAAAAAAAGTATCGGTCACGTTTTGGTATCGAACCCGGTCGATAACTATTTTATACATTTTTCAGTTTCTGCTTAAAATTCTTATTTCTGTCTCGCACTTGCGACTCTATTAATGAATAAGACTTACAGTTAGTATTAGAGGCGATATTCAAAGTTGGACCATGTTTTCTACACCATGCCCTATGCTTTTTCCACTTGTTTTTGATCTCTGGTATAGTTCTTGGGGTAACACCTACACTGCTAACACCCTGCGCTATATGGACCCACGCTTTATACTTTTCTTTATAAGGAATATCTGTTTTCGAGTCCACAATGTGTCTGTATTTATTAACTAACGAACACATTACGTTAACCTCTTGTTCAGAAAAATTACATTTTCTGTGACGCCTGTACACGTACGGATCATCTTCCGCCATCTTATACTAGTATCGATTCAACTTATCATTAATAAATTTTACCGCGATTGTAATTGGCAATTTTTTAAACCGTTTTTTTTTTAATTTTGCTTAGGCCCTAAACACAAGTGTGTCCGAAAAGAGTCGAAACATAACAGCGTGTGTAAACAAAAATAACAATATACCAGAGATCCTCAAAAGTTTGTTTGTAAATTAACTGTAGCAGATAAATCTAATAAGTGAAGTAATATAGGTACTGATTGACCAGACATACTAACTAACGGAAACCATTCCTTGCAATTATTTTCTTAAATAAATAAATAGTAAATATTCATTAACGTTAATTAATATTGTTAACTAGTCTGTGCAACATAACGGTGCGTTACCTGTATAGAATAAAACAAATAAAAAAAAAGACTACCTACAAGGTCACTAGATTCATTCGCATTGTTAGTTTTCACTTACGTCAGATGTTCTACACGTAACTTTTGTTCTAGTCGACCTTCACATAAATTATATTTTTATGTTAATGGCATTTCTATTTTCAGTTTTTAGGCAACCAAACATACGTTTTTTTTTTTTTAAACAATTTTTACCATTCGCGCCTATGTATGATAAAATTTTCCCTTAATACTCACCTGGCGTCCAAACGCTTTATATACACTAGCGGCGAGTTAATAGCCGAACGTAAGGCTACTGTGGTATAGGAAAATTAGTACAAATATTTGCGACATCTTTTCGTATGTAAAAATGTATAACAGAGTAATATAAGTTTGGTAAATGCAATTTAAAGCTATGTCGAAACGATTTTGAGAATTTGGTTATGATAGTTTTCAGATAAAAAAATATGTATCTAATTTTTATGTTCGATGAACTTTTTGCCTTACCTATATGGTAATAAAAAAAAATTTGTACTATAAAAAATATATTTACAATGACAAAATATAAATGTGCAAATTATACAAAATTCAGTAATAATAATATTTATATATCTAGAAGCGTAAAAATACAACTTATTTGCTATAGGTACTATCACAGTAAATTAGTATAAACTTTTTTTTACGAGAAATACAATAGGCGGTATACGATTATAATACTTTGTTATAGGGGAGGCGGTTACTGATTGATTTAATTATTATTTTTAACGAAAAGGATTAAAAACAGTTCTTCATTATCAATTGGAAAATTTGTGCATGTTATTCTTGTCGATATTTTCTAAAAATAGTTACATTCGTTNTTTATTGACGCGACTTATGGGTATGGGAGCCAGTCCCTTATAAATCTCATGTTAACTGGGAGGGCAGTCACATATGTGTGGGATAATTATCAAGATGTGGGTGGTTTAAGTAAGTATTACTTAATAGTAAGGGTAGGGAGTCCATTAACTACTTTTAAATAAACCATTCCTTGCAATTATTTTCTTAAATAAATAAATAGATAGATAAGACACGTAAAGACAAAGAAATTAATAATGTAGTAATAATAATAATAATAAAACGAAATGGCCAAACATAACCTTATGCACCGTCAACATACAACACACCGATAGATCAGAAAATTTCCAGTATAAAATACATATACAACACACCGGACACAATATAATTTGTTATAATTTCGTCTGTCTCATTATCACTTTACCGATGTCACTTTGTCTTTGTTTGTAATAATTTCTGAAGAATTCGCCGATTATAACACTAACCCCCGATTTGATTATGTATAAAAATGACGAAAAACGAAGACGAAAAAAACCCCACCACAGGAGTGGACGGGACGTGTTTCTTAAATTATTAAACAAAAAACTGCCGAAATGTACCCTATCTAAAGTTCAAAATGTATTTTCGAAATTCGTGAATCTTTTTTCCAACATCTTACCGATTCTATAGAAAAAAAATCTATTTTGTCGGTCGGTCATAGTTGGCCACTTCTGTGCACAGTTGACAACGGTGTAACCAACGACAAGACCAGAGTTGACCAAAATGTTGCACCTATTTATTACCAAAATAATTTTACTGTAATAATTTTTGATATCAATACATTTTAAGACAAAAAGATAAGACGGACTCGATTTCTATACTTTCGTTGATATTATTTAAAAAAAAAAAAGCACCCTCGACTGTGCGGCGGCCATTTTATGTAAATACGTAAATGAATTGTGTACTTACCGTCAAAAAATTCATCACATTCTGCTTCCAAAAATTCTGTGATATCAGAAAACTCATCGGCCTGCCTGCACCTTGCAAGCGCCACGGAATGAGGGTCAGGGATGTGATTGTGGGGCATGTTAACCTTTGGGGGGCCATTACCCGTCGATATGCTACCCTATTTAGTAACAATTATATAATACAATCAGTAAATATACATATAAACAAAAAAAATACGTACCTTGCAATTTAAACTACGCTGGGTGCACCTCCAGCGTATTCCGCCTCCCTGTCTTTTTTTGTGGACCGTATACATGTAACCTCTGTGTATTATTTTCATTCCACCCTTGTTAGAACGGATGAACTCCAAAGCGTCATTCATAGTTTCCGTTTTATTTGGCGATACTTAAAAAAATATTAATAACGTAATCAGCTGACGACATTTTGAGTACCGCTGACAGATGTATCCATTTTTAGATGGCATCACGGAATACAGCAATCAATATAGATTTAATTTACTCGCGGTGCCTTTTTACTTTAACGTTTTAACGTGTTAAAATACAGAATGTCGTTTAGAAATAAACGTTACTACGTGATCTAATGTCTATATAAATACTCACGATTGGTCTGACGTTCTCCGATAAGGGTTAAAACGCAAATCAAAATATTGGTACCGAATGTAGCGTGGGGACTAACTAGACACTGTTCGAAAAAGAACTGCGGGATCGGTACCTAAAGTTTCTAGCCGGTGTGAGCATTTTCAGCAGCTGTAGCAATCTCCTATTACTGTCAAAAGTATTTCAAATGCGCCACAATTATTAATATTTTAGAGCGAATTGTTCGATTAAAATAATAAACTAATCTATATTTATCGTTGGGTAGGTACGTATGTACAGACGTATAGTAGATATACGTATAGGTTTTTTTCCAAATAATACAATTGTAGGACTTTAGTAGTCCATAAATATTTAGGAATGATGGAATTGTTTCGTTTTTTTTAAATCATTTAATAAAAAGTATTTCTGGCATATTAATATGGGTAATTTTTTTATGATAAGGAATTATTAATAATTTTTGATGCTTTTTCTGATGTGGTGGTATTTATTATTAATATTTTAAATGGTGTGGGACTCAGAATTTAACTTAATAATGTTGTAGGTCGTTTATAATATAATTATTATTAAGGCAAACGTAGGGAACTAAAGTCGTTTAGAGATTTTCAATTTGCTTACGTTGGTACGAAGGTGCAGGAGTTATTTACGAATCCGATTAAAACCGAATGTAATTAATAAAATGTCAACTGTTTGATGTCAACTTAGTTAACCTAAAATTCCATATTTTGCGTATAATTCTTTTTTATTTAAGCATTTTACAATGGAAGACACATTGCCGTCGACGGTTGAGCAAGAATTATTGGGTATAAAACATTTAGTTTGGGGCGCAACCATAAAAAATGACGTTTTTAAAAGGTGGTCACAGGGTATGACTATGTCTTATTACATGCTTTAAGCGTTTCTTTACCTACAAACGAAAATGTAAATATTTTTTTGATATTTTCGTTAAAATCGCGACAAGACGAACGCCCTAACGTTCAGGAGTTTTCAGGTTTTTACTTCAGTGGCGGCGAGAAAAGTGCGTTGGAACAGGCGGAAGGGGGACCGTGTGCAGTCATAGCACCAGTGCAGGCGTTTATTCTAAAAAATTTGCTCCTAGATTTTAACGATCTTTCATTTAGAAATGCAGTAAGCAACTTGAAACTCTCTTCTCTCTCTGTGTTCTCTACCCGAACACCATTTCTGTTTGCAGATGACAGAAGATTTGCAACACAAGTATTTAATTAACGCCTTATGTGAGATACTGAAACAGTGCAACGTGAAAAAGTACATAATAGCCAGCTTTAACAAAGCCAAATGTAAGAGCATAACGGACACAGGTTGCAGCACCAACAGGCTGAACGGTAATGAGAAGGACGAGTTGCACTTTCTTGCCTCTGAGGTTTCCAAGACATTCCATGACAATTTGCAGTTGTACATTTTCACGAAAATCGAAGACGTGGCCGTGTTTTTTAAGCAGAACATTTGCATTTTTAAAGAAACGTTTGGAGTACTTTTATTTTTATATTCGGTGTTGGCAACCAGGGTAAACTGATCCAATCACTTACCACTAGTTCAAATTGTAATTGTGTTGGGTTTAGGGCGTAGATCTTGTCAAGTACGAGTCAGACACGACGGAGCCTTTTATTGACGCGACTTATGGGTATGGGAGCCAGTCCCTTATAAATCTCATGTTAACTGGGAGGGCAGTCACATATGTGTGGGATAATTATCAAGATGTGGGTGGTTTAAGTAAGTATTACTTAATAGTAAGGGTAGGGAGTCCATTAACTACTTTTAAATGTCATGTTTTCCCTCCAAAAAATTGCCGAAAGCCAAAATTCCGACCGACGTTTCGCTCTTAGTTATGAGGCATCTTCAGGGTAGGTTTCCCAGTTAGATTCATGTATGTAACTTACATTAAGCTAACTAGGAAACCTACCTTGAAGAAGACTCTACTTTGAAAGCGAAACGTTAGTCTTGGTTTTATATTCATAACGAACCTTATACCCTACATTGACTGGATTTTTGCCTTTAATAATGAATTATTACCTTTAAATGCCTTGTTTTCCCCTAAAAGTTACTAAAAGGTAAACATTTAGCTAATGTAAGGTTTAAGGTTTATTACGAATATGAGAGAACAACCAACGTATTGCTGTAAGTTATGAGGTTTCACCAGGTTAGATTTTCTGGTAAGTTTCATATAAATAAACTAGGAAACCTATCCTGAAGAAACCTCATAACTAAGAGCAAAATATTGGTTGTGGTTTAACGTTTATAATAAACCTTGGACGTTACATTGACTGGATTTTTGTCTTTAATAATGAACAACTACCTTTAAATGCCTTGTTTTCCCCTAAAAGTTACTAAAACGTAAACATTTAGCTAATGTAAGGTTTAAGGTTTATTACGAATATGAGAAAACAACCAACGTATTGTTGTAAGTTACGAGGTTTCACCAGGTTAGATTTCCTGGTAAGTTTCATACAAATAAACTAGAAAACCTATCCTGAAGAAACCTCATAACTAAGAACAAAATATTGGTTGTGGTTTAACATTCATAATAAACCTTGGACGTTACATTGACTGGATTTTTGTCTTTAATAATGAACAACTACCTTTAAATGCCTTGTTTTCCCCTAACACTTACTAAAAGGTAAACATTTAGCTAATGTAAGGTTTAAGGTTTATTACGAATATGAGAGAACAACCAACGTATTGCTCTAAGTTATGAGGTTTCACCAGGTTAGATTTCCTGGTTAGTTTCATGTAAATGAACTAGGAAATCTATCCTGAAAAAACCTCATAACTAAAAGCAAAATATTGGTTCTGGTTTAACGTTCATAATAAACCTTGTACATTATATTGACTGGATTTTTGCCTTTAATAATGAATTACTACCTTTAAATGCCTTATATTTCCCAAAAAATTAGTAAAAGATAATCATTTAGCTAATGTAGGGTTTAAGGTTTCTTATGAATGTGAAACAACAATAAACCTGTTGCTTTAAGTTATGAGGCTTCATCATGGTAGGTTTTATGGTAAGTTTCATGTAAATGAATTAGGAAACCTATCCTAAAGAAACCTCATAACTAAGAGCAAAATATCGGTTATGGTTTAACATTCATAATAAACCTTGTAGGTACCCTTTTAGTAATGAATTATTGTTTTGCTCTTTCCAGGGCTTAGGGGCTTGGAAAAGCAGAGCCAAGTGGGTTTTATAACTCTCTTGGAGCATTTGAGGTATTGTACGGTAGGTTCTTTTTACAAAAATCCGGTACACCCAGTATGGATTTTGGGTTCAGACACCCATTTGTCGGTTTTGTTCAGCGACGAGAGGAAGCTTGTAAGCCCTGAAACGAAAAGCGAGAAAGCCCGACGGATATTCAAAACGTTCGACCCGGACGGTAACAATTTCATCAACGTTTCTAGCCTTCAGGATGTCCTAGCTTCGTTAGAACTTGTTAGCGAACCCGAATAGTAAATAATCATCTCCTTTTTGTTTGTTTTGCCTATTTTTAACGGAACCCCATGGTTTTTTCGTAGCGTGGACATAATGAGGAAAAAGTTAGACCCGGAGAACCTCGGCATAATCCTTTTGTGTTCGTTTATGGACGAGTTTTTCCCCGTAGAGGAGAGATCCACTCCCGACATGTTTCCCCTTTATCATTACAACGGTTTGGCGCGGAGTAATCTCAAAAAACAGGTGAAAATCGAGTGGTTTTTTTTTACGCCATTTCAGTGACGAAGTGTTCCGTTTTTATCAGGTCCAATATCATGCAGGATCGGCGATATTGCTGGAGTCGAATCTCAAATCGTATAACGAATCGGATCCGATGTTGACGTGTCTCCAGACGAAATGGCCGAGCATAGAAGTGAACTGGTTCGAAGGGGTTACACCGTCGTTAAATTAGAACGGAAAACAAAAAAAAAAAAGATCAAGGAGAAAAAAAGACGAACCGCCGAGTGTGCTTTGTTAAGTTTTAAACTTTGTCCTCATTTTGTTTCATTATTTCCTCCAATCCCATCAGTAGTTACAATTTTTGTTTTTCTTTTTTTTTTTTTTCATTTCGACTCATTAGTACCTACCTACTTGACGATCGTATGTAATTTATTTCCTTCTCGTTCACGCATATATACACACATACATACACACACAAAACATAGATCCCCCTCTTCCTCTTCTTCTTCTCTCTACCCTCCCCCCCTCCCCCTGTACATAATTGCGTACGCTTACGTTGTAATTTAAATTATTGAATTATATCTTCTTTTTTTGTATTGCGAAAAGTACAAAGTTGTCTAAATTTTGTTAATTTTTTATGTAACTTAAATCAATTTTAATTTAAGCTATTATTAAAATTACGTTATATGTGAAAAGAGAAACGTGTTTTATTTATGAGTTAATTAATTTTTTTTTATTTAGCTCCCCCCCCGTGTGAGGCCGGGTAGTAGAATAGCCTCACCGCAACGTCTCGGCGTGTCGTAAGAGGCGACAAAATGAGATACAAAAGCCTCGGGCTTAACCTAACTTCCCACGTGTACTAGAGGGGGCTCTGCACGTGGCGACTCGCGCCCCCTCGCCATCCGCGAAAATTTTTAAATATGCATGGGTACACAATGTTGTAAAAATAAATCGTACCATATTTATAATTGGACTTTCTTTTGTTTTCTTTTCAAGTTTCTTTGCTGGATAGGGAAATAGAACGAAAAGGGGGGCCTCAGAATTGAAATGTCGAGGCATCACTGTCGAGTGGGGTATCGTATTAAAGGTCTCTGTTCGTACGTTTGTAAAAACATTTTTTTGGAATTTTAAACTGCATACTTGCCAACTTATTACAAAAAATATCCGAAAATACACANTGGACTCTTTTCACTTGGTTCGTAAGGTTTTATGCTTATCAGGGGTTTAGGTTTGAAATTGCTTACGAACTTCTGCGTGACATCCGACGGAGTGACATGCTTTAAATTCATACTTTGTATACTGAGACTTGTGGTAGGTTTTTCCGGGGTTTTTGTCGTTTTCCCTTGTTCTCTGAGGACCTGCTTCCTGGTTAATTTACGGGCATGCGTCCTGCAAGGGGTCGTGTCATTTTCTAACAGATTTTTCGTTGCCAGAAGGGGCAAAAGTCTTTTGGTTACGTCAAAGGTCCATTCGGCTTGTTCCTTGCTCTGTTGAGGTTTTTTGGTTAAGTTTTCTGAAATTTTACTTTGTAGCGAAAGCGAAATCAAAAGATTTTTTTAACACTTACCGACGACAGTAGCACTTGCAAAAAAATACGCAAAAACGTTGCACAAACAAATTTTATTGGGAACACTTCCGACATACACTGGGAAACAATCACTTACACATAAGTATGCATTACCAAAAATAAAATTGATTATCAGTATAACGACGTCGCATTTTCAAAAATATTTCTTCTTTGCACCTACTTACGATAATAAAAAGGATTAAAAAAATGCACAAATGAAATTAATATGTATTAATTTATTACATACATAAATTTAAGTGTCCTTTCTTAACAACTAAAAAGATGTGTACGTGAGTGAGTGTCTAGGTAAAAAGGTGTTTCATTTTTTCTCTCTTATTAAGTACTTGGAATAAACGGGGATTTTGTGTGTGGAGCACCCAATCCAAACCGCTCTTCTCCCACCGTCGTCAATCTCTCTCATAAAAAAAAAATCGTACATAAAATGCATGTAACAAGCGGTTCTTCTCTCTCATTGGCGCATGTTTCCGGGCATCCCATACGGTGTCAAAGTTAA